TGTTTTTAGCGCCCGAACCACTGATTCACGGATTGTCTGCATTTTGAAGCCTTTGTTTCGCACTTTTTCTTTATTTATCACTCTATTTGATGAATAAATATATAATTATTAAACTTATAAAAGTTTGACAAAATTAACAGTAAATGTTGTGACAATCACTTTAAGAACAAAATTACTATTAAAAGCGTGTTACTATTAAAACTATTAATTGTAATAAAGATTATGAATACCTGTTTTGAATTTTATTTTGGTTTTGTATTTGTTTTTCGTCCGCAAAATATATGGACGTCTTTCTGATGCCGACGCCGTAGTAGTGGTACTTTGACTGACCCCTCGTTCCCAGTCTTCTTGTCGTGATTTTGGGAAACTTTTGTCGCACTAACTGTACGTTTGGGTTAATTTTTCATTAAATTTTAGTAACTTTTTGTTAAAAAACATACATTAAAACAAATATATCTCAACAAAACCAATACATACTTTGCCGAAAGCCGCGGCGCCGATAGCTTTACACGAATTTTTGCGCGTATAATCCAAATAGTGTTGATAGAGAAGACATCGGGGAAGACATATGCCTTCTTTGAGCTCGTAATTGGATTCAAGCCTTTGATATAAAAATTCAAAAAAATAAACTATACATAAATATAAATCATATTTTTTTAATCACTGGGCATTTAATACCAGTTAAGTGTGTGTTCGTTGGCTTTCCGGTGATGTGTCCTCTTGTTTGACATTTTCAACATTTACTGCAAAACAAATGGTTTTGGTTTGTATTGAGAAAAGTTGATGAATTGTAAAAATTAACGTCAATATTCACAATATCGCACTTCAATTCATAAAAACACTACTAATAAAAGCAAATATTAATATACAATATATTGCCGATGACTGAGAGCACCGGAACCATACAGTCTATGATAATATAAAAGTTTATATAAGACTTAACACCAAACAGTCTGCCGGCTCTCACTCTTTACAACATAAGTCTTAACACATTTATGTGACAGAGATTTCGCACAATTCACGAAATTATAGATTATATTCCTATGAATATCACAATACAAATGAACGCTGATTTGTGCGGTAAGAGTGTGTGTCTAAAACATCGTGAAATTGTACAAACAATTATACTGTATATTTCTCTATATAAATAATGCTAAACATTGCAAACACGTTATTAATATCCCGCCGAATAGCCGAATGATAAATATAGTTATCGTTTCGCAATAGTATTGTCTATAGTTTAATGACATNCTCTCTCTCTCTCTCTCTCTCTCTCTCTCTCTCTCCGCACTCCCCCTCACATCCCACTACTCTGTCGGGCCCTCCGACTACTCCCTCTCATCTGTTGTTTGAAGTTATTGTCGAAAAGCGTTAAATATTAATACACTGTATGTTTAGTACACATAATAATAATATCGATGGCTTTTAAACCACACGAAAAGGCAGTATATTTGCGTATTTCAAACAAATGCCGACAAACAAAACAAACTATTATTTTACTGATTAGTTTATTAACAGATTTTTATTATAATAATAGTAATTACCGAACAATATATTTAATACCATAAGCGTGTTATGTATTTGTCGTATATATTGGGCAATATTATGACATTTAAAGTATATCAATGATATTTGCAATTAATTTTAAGTTTTAATTAGAAATTATGACATTTTGTAATACACTGAATATTTGGATTAATTTTTCCATCTTTTAATTATATTTTTAATTATTTTATAATTTGTATAATAATATTAATTTATAGTTAATGTTATAAATTTTAATTAAGGTTTTATTATTTACCACTAACTGAAAGATAATTATCTGAATTCAGAGGAATTTTTAAACATGTTTAATTATTACTTTGCTAGTTTATTTTAAATTAAATCTATCAAATAATTTATAATTGTTAATTGCAATATATCTTTACAAATTAAAGTATTTTCAAGAAATTAGTGCTATTTGTATATAAATTGATTTTAATTTATTTTTCGGACAAAACCATTGAGACGGGTGTAGTAATTCCACCTTGATAATTAAAAAGCAAGCCCTTTATATATTTTTCTATAGATTTAATATTACATAAATATCAGGGCTAACTATACATGGACAACTATTCATAATAATAATTTAAACCAATAGTATACTATTGATTTAGTTTGAAATACATATATGAAGTAACACTACTTTACCCCAAATAATAGTGCCCTTCCTTTTCACGACTTGAACAAAGAGATCCGACATTTGATATGACTTTATCTCAAATATATATTAAATTTATTCTTCAAAATACCGTATATTTATGCACTCTTATAGCCATACAATGCATACAAACTTATACCGGGAGTATATTTTCAGTAGAATTTTTATTACAATTAAAAATATTTGTTTAAATAATTATTAATTTGCATTTATGTAAAATTACCAGGATATTCATAAAATATTTATATTAGGTTTATATACACTAGCTAAATATTTAGGACCAAGTATATTTTTACACATCATTTCTTATTTTACTTTATAAGTGAAATTATTTTACTATATATAGTACAGGAATTGAGATAAAAATCAAAGATTGTTTTGTTTTATTATATAATTTGTATCAATCTGTTTGTTATCGTCTATTTTATTGATTCATTTCGTTTCCGTTATTAATAATAAACTATAATTTCATTTATTAACACAAATTCAATGATTCATTTCATTATATTTGCTTTGATTATGCAAATGATAGCAAATGTATTGTTTGCATAACTTAATGGCAAATTTAGAAATATTATTAAATTAAAAATTTTATTTTAAAGCACATCTCGTTGTTTGGTATCATTTAAATTGATAGATATATCTATTTATTTATTTATAACTCATTATAACACAAGTGGTGTGAGAAAGAAATTATATAAATTATATATTGCTTTTCAGTTAATGTGTGAAATGCTTTTCAGTTGTGTTTTCACAGATAATTGTCTGATAATTATAATTGAGATTCACTTCAATAAAAGTGAAGACATTATTATCTCTTGATTTTCTGTTGAAACGAAGGCATCATTTATTGTGTATTTGTAATGAATTTCATTTACCGTTAATTCAAATGAAATACACGTTTAACAAGAAGTTTGTGTAATTTGGATAAGACTTTCCGAAATTAGTTTTAAAATTTTCAAGTTTTATAATTTGATAAAAATTATATAAATAGTGAATCAAATTAACCAAAAGTATATATCCATCGGATATAACGAACGATTATTTCAATTATCGGTCAATACTGTACTTCAAACAACTTTTTGAATGATAAAAATATTGATTATTTTTCAAAGGATACAAATTTTTAGTACAAATAATAATTGTATTTATTTTCTCTTATTTTTCGGTGATTTTACGTACAAATAAAAATGATTTCAAATTGTTTTTATAGATTTATATTTACAAATAAATTGAATTAGAAATTAATATTAAGTTAAAATTAATGTCATTTAGTTTCGGCACAAAAATAATCATAAGATTTGTAAATCTTGTTATAAATTAGTTATTTCTTATTTTAAAAAACTTTCTATTCGTTAGTTTCGACCCAAAATTCATTACATAATTGCTTTTAAGTATGAATTTATGACAATATATTGGAAGAAATGTCTTATTAATTGCAAGATAAATGGCATTAGAAATGAAAACACAAATTAAAATACACATTAAAAATACAAACAAAATCTACACAAATAAACAATATTACAATCAGAGGTCCGGACAGTCGTATAGCGAAAACATATGAAATAAGTCTAAGAAAAGGATAGCATTAATAGATTAGACATAGAATACATTTAGAAGAAAGAATGTGGTAAAAGAATATATCATTAAATTTATAAATTTCATTAAAAATATAGAGAAAATTGAAAACAAATCAATCGTTTTGTGTGTAAACGGAGTTATGATTATTGCACACAAAGAATGCAGACATCCTTTCAGTTTTCAGTCACCGTTTTTTGTTAGAAAATACAAAATCAAAAATATTTTTTCAATGTTTGTGTTTAACTTAATTTATCAGTCAATTAATGATATGTCTCTCAATTTGTCTGACAATTACTTTATAAGCATTTGATTACAAACTATTTATATAACAAAATTTTTACTACTATTTGTGTTTACAAAAAAACATTTGTTAGCATTAAAACGTGGTGTAAATCATCTCTCAATTGTAATGGTATTCAATAATAAGCGCTTCTTCCGAGTCTTCATAAGCTATTGGTTTTGGGATTAGTTGTGAATAAAGAGAAAGA